ATATATATATATATATATATATATATATATGGAATCATCAGAAGGTTGATCAGGGTCCATGAAAAGTCCATCAGTAGATAAGGTTAATATTGTTAACGCGTTCGTGACCAATTGTATTCAGTGCTTTGCTAGAAAGGTTTACGCTGCACTGTTAGGCAATTTGTTTTCCGGAGGGGGTCCATGAAAAGTCCATCAGTAGATAAGAGTAATATTGTTAACGCGTTCGTGACCAATTGTATTCAGTGCTTTGCTAGAAAGGTTTACGCTGCACTGTTAGGCAATTTGTATTTCCGGAGGAGAGCTTCCGCCTAGTTCAGCTGAGAAAAAAACTGTGGGAATTGAAAAACGGAACCCGTGTGGAGATGGTGCTTATATGGAAGTGTTTCTGTAGCCAACGCGTACAAATGTTGAAGTCACGTATAGACAGACGATTATATACCAAAGCGCACAAACTCACCAGTTCGCAACATCAAGAATCCGGAGTAGGCACCGAAAACTGTGGTGTATCCCACCTGAAAAACTAAAAGATCACACGCACGGTCAACAAAACGGGTTTAGGAACCACAGTAAGATGCTGACAGTGGGAGACGCACAGTTGGTACGTGGATGCGCCTTAAAGATTGGTTTGCACATAATGATGCCAGATAGGTAAAAGACTAAGAGATAGCGCATAGAAGATTCACTTCTTTTTCGAGCCTCAAAACAAAACGTTTGCAGCACACGTAAAATTAACATATCAGTGGTCGATGTGTCCAACCACATTGCTGAACGACAAGACAACCCTCGGTAAGCGGATGTGAATAAAACCCTATTGAAACCGCAGTTCTAATAGGATATGAGCCTCGACGAAATACAATGCTCGTACAGCTCCTAAGAGCTCTTCAACAGCCAACGACCGGTCTCACGTACCTTGAGGCTCATCAGGTAGGCACAGTTGTCGAGTTATCGTAAACCTTACGTCATACTTGAACACCAATTTGTACCCAACTGGCGAAATACACTCATTTGCAAATCGAGCTGATGTTAACGGGAGGTTTAACCGAATCCCATTCGAACCTCTCATTCATCCTAACCCTCAAGAAAATGCATTGCGCAAAGGCCGTCTCATGTCTCAGTTGATACGACATTCACGATAAACGCCAAAATTTATCGCAATATCTCGAACACCGTACCAATCGAAACATGAGGTGGTTTTTGTATAGCACATTCAGCTAAATTGTCCGTCGATACTAGCTTGTAAATGAGTGTGATTTCCAAAAAGTGTGAGCCTAAGCAGAACTACTTTGATGAGACCTTGTGTTTTCAATCACGGGACCCACATTATGCGGTCACGTGTTGACTGGCTCTTCGAAAAACCGTTCACTTGTAGCACCCTTTCGGTGCCTAACTGCCGTGCCACCCGAAGATTGCACGAGGGCTAGGATATTGCCAGGCTGCCCAAGCCTAGACAGGGGAGTCGAGAAGCAGAGGTCGGGTTCGAACCACGGACCATTTCGGTTAGTAAATTCGCGCTCTAACCACTTGGGCCATCTCGCCCTGGCTCCCCGAACCATGGCTTCTCTGATGGGAGGTTCACTCATCGTGTGAATCACTCTTCCTCCTGAATCTCCTAAATTTTTGTTGACATGTAGAGATTTGGCAATTCTCAATGAGAATTTCGCCCTGTCAGTGAAATTGATCTGTGTCCAAAAGCCGAGGAGCACTGTCCAGTTTTTCCATCCTTATTGGGACTCACAAACAGTGTGCATCTCGCATATCCGGGGAAACATGAACTGAGAACAGAAATCAGCAGTCACCATTTTACTCTTGAGGTCATGCTATACTGGGAGTGGGGAGTGGTACTCCATAAATGAACTATCCCGCGTGGTAGTACTAATCGTGAGACCGCGGAAAACCACGTTGCACAGTGCTCAAGCACGTGTTCAAGCAAGCGCCTGCAGTGCGGCTGATGAAGTTCTAAAGAAGGAACAGGAACTGCACATTCATGACCAGTATATTGTAGTGCACATATACAGCGGTGTAGACGCAGGGAATATACTCGGGGTTTGACTACTGAGTTGTGTGTCGAATGAGTATTGTTCCACCAAGTTCGCTAGAACTATTCAGTAGCATTCAAGTAAAAGGAGCTGTTTATTTCAAGCATTCGTACACGATGCGAGTTAACGGTGAAGAATTGACACATTTCAATGTTCTGTGTACAGCTTGTACACGTCTAGGTTTCTTGGAGAGAGAGAGAAACTCTACTTGTGGTGGTGGGAGACGTCACTTCACAATAGAGAACTGGCTGAACCGAGGAGAACAGAACTTAAGTAAGGAAGTACCAGACATAATCATACAGAATCATCATCCATATCAAGGAAATTGGTAACAAAAAACAGCCCCTTGACAAACATTGTGGGTGTTTGGGAAACAACTGGGGGAAAGAAACTTACGTGCTGACAAAAACGCTTTCCACAGGCTTTCGCCATCGTATACCCGTTCATAGATGTGATGAAAATGCGCTAGAAAGGATTAAATAAATGGTTTACCCGGTAGCTTGGGTAAATTGCTTGCAAATCTTGATTTTCACTAGGAATTGCTACAATAAATGAGCTTGGGGTCAACTAATACTGTACAAATGAATATAGTAAATAAAATTAGGCGACTACGATTGCTTAGGTAAAAGACTAATTACCAAACGTCAATTGATCTCCTCATCATTTGTGATCGATATATAACATGTACCGCACCTTCGAATGAATCAACAAAAGGTAGCCTTTGGACTCAGTTCAGCGCGACTCGAGCATGAGCATCTCTACTCCCAAACAAGTCACTCAGAAAGTTATTTGTCGCAACAGTCTGTTTAGCATGCATTCTCCACCCTAAAAAACCTCCAGCGCTGTGCGGAAAGCTTGCTAGGTTTATCCAGCATTTCCGAAACTCGCTGACTGGTTGGTTTACCATTAACAACTGAGGTCATTCATTGAGTCCGCTGCCAGGCGCCGACTGCCTGAAGCGAGATGGTTCAGGTGGTTAGAGCGCGAATTTACTGACCGGAGTGTTCGTGGTTCGAATCCGACCTCTGCCTCTTCACTTCCCCTGTCTAGGCTTGGGCAACCTGGCAGTGTCCCAGCCCTCGTGCTTCCTTCGGGTGGCGTGGCAGCTAGGCACCGAAAGGGTGCTACAGCTGAACGTCGAGAGAAGCACACTCCGTACCTAAAGCAAATACATCAGCAGTGCAAATCGGTCGGGTGATGCGTGATCCTGTGGCCAATAGTCTGAAAGTGTTGACCAAAACATCGTACACCACATTGTCACACATAAGTTCACTTTCGCCGTCATCTTCGCAGCATATCACTTAATAAAATGGGTGGCACTGAAGCGGCCTTCCGTTGGGTGCTTGAACTTGGGAACGTCCGTTCACCAGACAGCTCTTGAGTATCATCGCTGCGTATCGTCCGAAAAAGAACCCGGCTAACTGATGTCCGCGCAATAACTATCGCGTTCTGAACAAGATCACAACGCCGGAAGGATATGCAATAGAACACTCAGGACATCACCGGCATTCTGAGAGGCGCGCGCACTCAGTAGGATTGATCTAGTCTAAGTCTATCATCCGATCTAGATCACTGAGGTGGATAACATCGGATAAGACATCGGTTAGCAGACCATTGAGTCTCTTCGAGCTCCCAGCTATTCATACGGGAGGTTTGTCGCCGCTTTGATTCCGCCTATGCGTTTATAGATGATATTTTGGTCACCACTGTATCAGAGGACGAACAACGCCAACACCTACACTAGCTGTTCACCCGTCTTAATTAACACGGTGTTGCAGTCAAAGCTAACAAAATTGAACCGCGCAGAATTTTTTCGAAGTTCGTGGGACATCGGATTACGTTGAGGGAAATGGAATTCGGTTGAGCCTTTCTCAACACCAACTTGATTTGTGAATGAGTGTTTTTCACAAATTGCGTCCAATTCGGGTTCAAGTAAGGTTGATGGAAACTTGGGGAGTGATGAGCCCAAAAAAAGACGAAACCGGTCCTGGGCTGTCGACCAACCATCAACCTTATGATCAGCTGCAATTCAGTTAGGTCACCTGTAAAATCGAAAAAAGATCGTTCAGCTGTAACACCTTTCTGGTGCATAGCTGCCATGCCACCCGAAGGAAGCACGAGGGTTGGGATACTGCTAGGTTGCCCAAGCCTAGACAGGAGAAGTAAAGAGGAAGAGGTCGGGTTCAAACCACGGACCTTTTGGTCAGTAGATTCACGTTCTAACCACTTGAGCCATCTCGCCCCAATCAAATTAGTGTGCAAACACATGTCAAGCCTCCAGGTGCCTGAAGCATGCAATCTTCTTTATTGCAGCCTCACTGGATCATTACACTTATCACTGACGCATTCGATAAGGTCTTAAAGACAATGCTGCTGAAGTTTACCACCTGTGGGTGAAGACATTTTCCTTGAAGGCTCTTTAACTGGCTGGGACTCGTTGCAGCAATTTTGGCAGAATTGTTGGCTATCTACTCTGCCATTCGACACTGTAGGAATATGATGGAGGACCGGCACCCAATAGGTTTTAGCGATCATGAGGTAATCACTTATGCCATTCATTCAGCATCTGGTTGACAGTCACAGAGGTAGGAGACCTATACTAAAGTGTGCAGCTTACGACTGACATTTGACATACCTCAGTTGTATCGAACAGGCGCTGTTGATGTCCTTTCTCGGTCCAGTGGCGTGAACTGCCGAGTACATGTTGAGTTAGGAACCATAACTGATTCAGAAATAGCGGGATCACAACTCGATACCTCGTCCGGACGACAAATCATTCCTCAGATAATCCCCAAAGGAACAGTTATCCGATACACTTTCCCCGGGGTTCATCAGACGTCTCGTATGGAAATCCACGGACAAAGAAGTTTCGGACTGGGTCCGCGCCTACCTTCGATGCACCTTCATACCAAAAGCTTCCTGTGACACTCGGACCAGTCGTCACCACGCTCACAAAGATATGGGTGACCTTTTACCGCAGTTAAAGGGCGTTACCTAACTTCTAACCTGCATCGGCCTTTCTTTTAGCAGCAGGCTATCCCACTGGCAGGCTGTTCTCACGTACAGGCCTGAGACTTGGTGGCCCGTTTCGGTTACCTGCCTACAGCGAGGCGACACGACAAAATCACTCAAAAATATGTTGAAAACACCCTAACAGGACAAGCTATTCGGTTCAGATGGGTCACTCATGCTTAAAAAGGAACTCCTCCCATTTAGGGACACTCTGGTATCTCACTAAAGAATTTCCCTAATACAGATAGGGAGACTGCATTAAATTTTCAGTAACTGCATAGCTAGCTCACTTACCAATGGAGAAAAATAATGGACTAATGATGCAAAGTTCGTGACACGATGGATACAGTCGCTGCAAGTGAAAAATGATACAAGCTCGAAATATTAGCTCCTCGGCCAAAGGTGCGACCAATAGATTACGCACTCCAACAAGGTGGAAAAACCGTGTTTCCCAAAAGTATCGATCTGAAACAAATGGTGACAAAGGGATTTATAGGGTGTACAGTTTGGCAGAAAGTCTAAGAGACTCAATAGGCAGGCGAGGCATAAACAAGAAAAGACTATTCGACAGCCCAGTTTCGCCCCCCTTGGAGCTGGTCAGGTAGATTTAGTCCCCGAGTTTCCGTAAACCTTACGTTTTACATGATTCCAAATTGCACGAAGTTAGCATACGAATTTGCTTTTGACGAGACACCCCTGGAACCAAGAAAAATCTCTCGTATATGATGTTTCTAAGCAACTGAATGTGCTCCACTAAGCCGCTTCATTTTTCAGTTGGCACAATATTCGAAATATCACGGTACATTGTACAGACGTAATACTACTCATAAAGTTGCTGAAAGCTCCCGGACTACCCACAACCTGTTTTGCTGTTTTTGGGGTTCATCAGGTAGGCACAGTCCTCGAGTTTCCGTCAATCCCATGCACTACTTGAACCCAAATTGCTTAAAAAAATCATAAACTAGAGATTCAGATGGGTTCCAGATGAGGCTCCCGTCCAAACCAAATAAGTACGCAAATGAGTGTATTACGCTGAAAAAGTCTATATTATTACTTCTTGTCATCAAATATTATTATTGCAGAAAAGTGTGGGATTGGCCAATGCAATTTAGAGAACTGAGAAATTATCAGCTGATAAAGGTATACGGCAAGTGGAAGCTTGTCTACAGCCTACTTACCTATTTTGACTTGTAGTATGTCCCTCGGATAAAAGTAGTCTACAAATTTCCACTGAAATTACTTCGTACTCGAAAAACAGCCAAACTAACACGGTGTGAAAGTGAGACTAAGATAAATGTTTCGGTGGTGATGTTAACTAGCGGACCGAAAAATAATTTGATATCTGGAACATAACTTGATGATAGTATGGAGGGTTGGAGACCTCCGGTCTAGGTTCCATCTTGTAAATGAAGTCAGTCTATTGCGAAAAACCAAGGAGCACTGTACAGCTATTTAGCTTTGTTGGAGCTCATCAACAGTGCTCATCTCACGAAGCTCCGGGAGAAAAAAGAAAGCGTTCAGTTGTGGCACCCTTCCGGTGCCTAGCTGCCATGCCACACGAAGGAGGCACGAGGGCTGGGATACTGCCAGGTTGCCCAAGCCTAGACAGGAGAAGTCGAGAGGCAAAGGTCGAATTCGAACCACGGATCTTCCGGTCAGTAAATTCGCGCTCGAACCACTTGGGCCATCTTGCCCCAAGCTCCCGAAGGGACTCGCATTAGCGACCTCTTGGAGGTGACTGAAAGCTAAACTGCTCAGCCACGAGCAGTTAATCGACAATGTGGGTAGCTCACACTTAAATAGGATACAGCGCCACTAACTCTTTGTCACGCATTGTGTGGTTCCTCGAGTGACGACCTCAAATATCGACCCGAATGAATCCTACGCTATACACCACCTTGTTGGAGAACAGAATAAAGTAGAGATTCCTTTGGCTTCCATGTTGACGCCATGTTACTTTGCAAAAAGGTCTTCAACCTTGCGAATATCCGATTCAGTGTTCAAGCAGGAAGTAGGGTTGAGGGAAATCCCTGGGCCAGATCCACCAATTGGGCCTCAGATAAGGCGAAAAAGGAGGGAGCTGTCAATGAATCTCCTAACAGACCTTGTATGTAGAATAGCATATCGAGCACACGCAAAATTCTTGGGGACGGTGATAACGATAAGACATAGGAAGTTCCAGGAAAAACCGTGCTTCCAAAAGAGAAAAATTGGTAGGTTCCATAAGTATCTACGCTACCGTAGATGGAATGTACTATATAAGCAGAACGACCTGGCCACCCAAGTTGCACGGCAATTTGGAATTAAGCAGTGGAAAAATCGGATAATCGATGGACTATTGCTGAAAAAACCACGTAAATGATGAAAATTTAGACCACTGAAACTACTCAAAACCGTATTGAAGAGCATCACGATCTGAAGTTCAGGGATATTCAACCGCTCATAGAATACGCATTGGGACAAGATCCACAGAGATGGTTGTGAAGTAGCGACCCCTATTTCAGGACGAAAAAGTCTTTCGGCAACGTTACACCAGTAGCAGTTTGGATGATTTTGAAAACAGCGGCTTTCCTCAAGGCAGCAGAGTGCACGCAAACAGAGGACAGCCATGATAAACTTATATCGTTTTCCCACAAAACGGACTTAGGAGCACAGATAAGTTTCAGAAGGTCCTTTGTACAACTGGCAAGATTCAGTTGTCATGCGAAAGCAGTGTCCAGTTGTTTCCAGAACACGATGGTCAGTCAACAGCCATAGTACTGGACGCACTGAGGCATTATAACATCCCACTCTATAGGAGACCTTATATGACACTTGTATATATATATATATATATATATATATCACATGCCAGGGTGGCACCGGTGTCTGAAAGAGCATGAACAATCTATACCCACACCGCCAAGATGGGTATGGAGCGGTTCGGTTCCGACATCGCGTAAGAGATCCGTTTCTGGGGGTAAAATCAAGTAGGACCAAGTGCGGGACTTAGACTTCATTTCCACTTGTCGGAAGTAACAGTACGGGCGACATGTGGAACCGACCTATCCTACCTATTCTTCCCGTGGATGACTTCAAACTGATCACATGCGCTCATTTTGATAACCTGTACACTTATCGTGAAAAGATACGCCATTAAACAGATCCTCGANTGCTGAAAAATAGCACTGATCCTTCTGCTAACAAATGAATACCATGCACCAAGCTGTGAACATGCGGAAAGACAGTAGAACCTACAGAACTTACCGAAAATCAAACTAGTTCTACCACAGCATAAGTCGTCCACAATCGTACCCAAGTAAAGAATCTGAGGCCAGAATATTAATGACATGAACGAAGAAAATCACCAAGGTAAGGATAAATGGTACAGATAGAGACTCCCACAGGTGATCCAGTCGAATGAATACCTTATGCCATTGGTAGGCGTACGGATCCAACTGTGGTTAGTAGAAAAATGCCATAAGCAATCGCGCTTACCAGAGGATAACCGGGTTTATGAATAAACCTGGAGACATGACACATGATAAGAGCACAAACAAAAGATATCGACAAAAAGCGATTCCGGATTGTGGTTGGATGGTTCCTGAATTGGCCGGGCACGGTGTCAACGGTGGATGAACAAGTTCTTACCTGGAATAATTACTTCCACAAAAATACAGGCCAAAGATGAAAAGGACAGCATAGGCCAAACAGTACAGAGTAGCCCATTCAAGCACTAAATATACGTTCATAGCATAAGAGCGAAACCGAGACATACTCATGGTGAAACTGAGATATCGTTGGAGAAATTGATCCAATCAAACGAAGTTGGCTGAAAATAAGGTCAAGGATGTGAAAACTAAAACTCCCTTCGTGCAGACAATGGAAGAACATAATGGTAATCAGTGATCTAGTATGTTATAGATAGAGGAAAAATAATTTGGGATAAAATATTGTTGGAACACAGAATCCTCATAATTTATATGGTAAAACTAAAACCCAAAACCATTGTCCCTCGTTGGGGAGACGCCTGAAGGAGTACAATGAACAGTAGTTTCGCCTGGGAATCGGCCACCCCAGAGAACCCAAGAAAAACTGAACACAAGAAATACAGAAAATACATTGCGCACGAAGAAAATGCGTGGCGCCGAACGGACCGAAACCTTTTGTGGAATATACTTTGTTATATACTATACTTAGCATGAAATACCGCCAGATTCAAAACTGTTCTGCAAGGATGCGGAATCAGCTGATCTGTTGGACTCGGCTCAATCGCCATCCAATCGTACTGAATATTCACTGGTGTGCTCATGTTAACCATTGCGTAGGATCACGTTTGTACGTCAGCGAAGCATCAGTGTTGAACAGTGATGTCATGCTCTCGAGGAGGATGGTAGCCATCTTAGTAATTTCACATAAAAAATAGTAAAAATTTAGCTTGATATAGATTTTAATGCTTATTTACCGTTTCTCTTTCAACGTCTCCCGTTTATATGGAATACGCTGCCAACATATCGTGCTAGAATAATGAGCAAAATCTCCTCTGCACTGTCGTATGTGGAGATATCACACATACAATGAGATTTTTCGGCCTAGGATATAGAAAATACTTCGAATCAGAACAGCGGAGATTTCGCAACGAACTTATTCAAATTACCCGCAATATCTACTTTATTCTTCATGTACCATTAATTCCCG